GGGGGGGGCGGCCCCCCGAAGCCCCGCCCCCTCTGTCCCCTCTCCTCGCGGGGCGGCGTCGCGTCGCTGCCCTCCACCAGCTGCCATGAGCGAGCGCCTCCGCCCCAGGTGAGAGGGGTCCCCGGTGCCTTCCAGCCGCTCGCCTGAGGCGCTGAGGGAGGGAGCTGAGGGGACGCGCGAAGCGGCGGGGGGGGGGCGGGTGTGCCCCGCGGGGGGCAGCGTGGACCCCGCGGGGCTGCGTCTGGGGTGCCGCGGGGAGAGGGGCTGGAGATGTGCGAGTGGTCCGATACCTGGCTCCAGCGGGTAGCTGGAGGGGTGCTCTTCGGGGTTCCGGTCTCCTATCCCTCATCTTTCCCTTTCTTTCCACCTTTCTCTGTTTGGGGTGAAGTCTGGCCGGTCTCGGAAGAGAGACGCTGTCCCTAAAGCTTCGCTGTCCTAAATTTAGGCGTTGGGGGATGGGAGGATGTCTGATCCCGGAGAGGGAGCCCCTAAGGCGTCTGCGAGGGCTCGGGGCGGGGAGCTGCGGCGCCCCAAGGTCAGAGGGAAGGGTTGGGCTTAACCCGGCAGCAGCCAGCTATTAGGTTAGACCGAAGGCGGTTGTGAACGCAGAAGGGCAGGTGCCCGCGGTGGGTCGCGGATCCTCTCTGGGCTGCAGCCTTCAGAACAGGCGGGATTCTAAACTGTTTGGATGCGGAGCCGTTTGCCTCCGAAGGTGGGAGGTAGATTACACTGCGGTGTCCTCGCTGCCTGCCCTCCGGCCTGCCCCAGGACCCTGCCTAGCCCTGGTCTTAACGCTTGACATTTAGGCCTGACTAAGTTGAGATTTTTTCTTTCTTTTTCTCTCCCTTGCCAGAAAGTACAGAGGGGATATAGTTGGACTGGATTACCCATTCGAATTAGAAAAACCCGTCGACTTGGAGCTGGAAGCGAAAACCCTGTAGATCACCAACCCCAACTTTTTTCTTTCTCTGATGGGGAACCAGATTCAGAGGGATGAGTTGATTTCCCTGGGTCTTTCCAGATTCACCGCTCTTTCCTTTATTCATGGTAGTCTCAGGCTTAAGTGCATTAGGTCGGTCCTAAGATTGCCCGTTTATGCTGGATCCTTTCTCACCCCACGTTTTCATCCAACCTGAATGTCATGGACAGTCTTTCCACAAGGCCCCTTTTCGGGAACACAGCTAGGTCGTGAGATTGAGCTTCTCCAGAGCATCCTGAGGTTATTTGATGTAACAGTGAAAAGCTAGGATTCCCGAAGTGGCTGCATGGGATTATCTATTTGTGTTCTGTAGCCAGTGCGGGCTGAAACCTCTGCCTGTATAGAAGAGTAGACTAAATTTGAGATTAGGGGCCTAGTTACAGACATTACCTCGGGATTAGGAACATGGGATTTGAATGTGGAGAGCCTGGTCTGACTGCCATTTTTCCCCATCCCAAACCCAGCTCCGACATTCTGTGGGGGTGTCACACATATTTCTGGAAATGTGTATAGGTTTCCTACAGAGAAACAATAACTTTTATCTAGTACTGTACAGAGATAATCTGTTTACACTGGTGGCAGATTACTTTTATCTAATACACAAGTAATCCACAGTTTCTGAAAAGCTTAGTTTTTTAGAAAAAGTCATTTGGTTTGGATAGGCTTTTCTTGTCTTCTTTCTCCATCTTGTGTTTCAGGGAGTGTGATGAACCAGCTTTTCCAGCTGCCACTATCTTCATAGAGTCCTCCTATCCTTGAGTCAGCTCACTTCTCTGCTTCTGTTTCCTCAGTTTTTAGATTAAGGGTTGGTCTACAATAGTGTTTTTATTTTTATTTTTATTTTTTGGAGAGGCTTTTTCTATAGGGCGCGTGCACTTGCCAGAAAGAGAAATAGAAGCAAGAAAGCACCCCCCATTGGGGATGGCCACACCACAATCCCTTCTCCTCCATTCTCTTCTCCGGATCTTGGGCACACATGCACATGTGTCCAGTGTGAGTTTAAGCCATCGGGTCCGGGACTCGAACCACGGCTGGCTACATGGGAGTCTGGCAACATAGCCATTACGCTGGCCCTTACAATAGTGTTTTTTTGAACATTTTCACAGTAGATTGGGATGACTGCAGGGTTGAGTGGTTGGCTAGGGGGAGTCCCTACTTTAAGTATGACTGATCTTCTGTCTCTGATATATTGAGAGGTCTTAAAACCTTGGTGGAAAAATGGAATTAAAGTCTGAGTTTATTTTTTTATTTTTTATTTTTTTGGAGAGGTTTTTGCTATAGGGCGCGTGCGCTCGCCAGACAGACAGAGGGAGACAGAGAGACAGAAAGTGAGAAATCACCCCCCAGGGGGGATGGTCACGCCGCAATCCCTTCTCCGTTCTCCTCTCGGGATCTTGGGCACGCACGCACTGCGCCTGGCGTGAGATTTAAGTCACCGGATCCGAGACGCAAACCGCGGTCGACTACGTGGGAATCCAGCGACATAGCCATTACGCTAACTGCTGGTTCCCAAGTCTGAGTTTATTTTGATAAAAAATAAAAAGAGTTTTGAAATTCATTCAGTGTCTTCGTAATATACATTTAAAAATCTCTTTTTAAAATAATGTTTTCCATTTAACTTTATTTATTATTACTTTAATTTGACCAGAGAGAGACAGAGAGAGAGAGAAAGTGAGAAATCAGGCTGCCAAGTCTGGAACTCGAACTGTGGTTGGCCATGTGGGAATCCAGTGCCCTTAGCTGTCATGCCACCTGTTGGCCCCATAATACTTTTTTTTTTTTTTGTAAATTTTCTTAAGACCTCTTTATGTAAGGAGGTTTTTTTTTTTTTTTTCCTGATAAGAAGAAAGGTTTTTTTTTTTTTTTTTTTAAGTTTGAAAACCACTAGTCTCCATACTTTTAAGATGACTTCTGCGCTTAGTCTCTAGGAAATGATGGGAAGGTTGGAGAGAAAGGAAATGAAAACTGTTCAAATCAACCATCCTTAGAAGTAACTGAGGCTGGGCCAGCCAGTGGTGTGGTTAAGATGACTGGATCCCACATGGGGACTGTGTGGTTCGGTCTGGACCCACGGGTGCATATGTGTACATGTGCCCATGTGTGCCCAAACTCTGGACAGGAGAACTGAGGGAGAAGGGATTGCAGTTTGGCTATCCTCCATGGAAGTTCTCTCTCTCTGTCTCTGACCAGTACATGTGCCCTCTAGCAAATTTTGAAAAAATAGTAGCAGTAGTAGTAACAGATCCTAACCCATAATCGGTACCCAGGTGGCTAGAGGAGAAGGTAGTCAGTTATAGAGTGCCTGCTCAAATTATAACCTGGTCTGTGGCACTAATGCCGAAAGCTGTGGTCTGACTGCCTGTACTGAGTAGCATGAGCGTGAAGCTGTCATCTTGCCAGTTAGCAATATTGTCGAAGGATGGATGTTTCAAGGATACAATCTGTTAACAGCCGAAGAAACGGAGAAGGGCAGACTCAACCCAGTACCGTCCAAAGGTGAAGGCCGCCAGCAGGCCAAAGAAGCAATTCAAGTACCTTGAGAAAGCAATCATGAGGTAGAGATAATGTGTGTGTCTTTCCCAGAGTTAGTGGAAATCCACAAAACTAGCCCATTTCTTTGTCCTGACACTCTTTCTTGCATGTAACCTCCTTGACATTCATGTTCTTGTCACTGGAAAGACTGTAAACAAGGAAATGGCAAATTTTGGTCAGACTCAGGCGTTTGGTTGGAGTGACTCAGCAGCCCAGAGCAGTCAGCTGCTGGCACACCACTCAAGTGAGAGTTTGGGGACCTACAAACTGCTGTGGGCTGAGTTTCTCTTGCGTGTCAGTTGGCCTCCCATGAGGCGTTGCTGCTGCAGACACTCCCACACAAACTCTTTGATCACATTAGGATGAAAGTACCAGTTCTGGGGTTCAAGTTTATGATGCTAGCTCACCCATTTAGCAGTGATTAAACCCTGATATTTATCGAGTTTTTAACCTCCAAATACTTCACATAATCTGCAGGTAAGATCTACTCTCCTGAGAGAAAAGTAGAGAGTGGAAGTAATGATCATTTTTTTTTTTAAAGGTATTTGCCATAGGGCACGTGCCTTCGCTAGGGAGAGACAGAGTGACAAAGAGACAGAAAGTGAGAAATCACTAGGGGGATGGCCACACCACAGTCCTTTCTTCTCCAGTCCCCTCTCATGATTTTTGGGCTCATACGCACACACGCTCAGTGTGATTTTCAAGCCTTTGGGTCCAGGATTCAAATTGTGGTTGGCATGTAGGAGTCCAGTACCTTAACCAGCATCCCACTTACTGGCCCCCATAATCTTATTTTTTTTAATTTAAACTTTTTTTTAGATTTTTGTCATAAGATGTGTGAGACAGTGCGAGAGGGAGAGACAGTGAGAAATCACCCCCTGGGAGGATGGCCACACTGCTGTCCCTTGTCCTCTCAGGATTTGGATGCACATGCGCCTATCGTGTTTTTCAAGCTGCTGAGTCTAAGACTCGAACCACAGAGTCGGTTATGCCACTTTGTTTTTATTTTACAGCCAGCAGAGTCTTAGAATGAGGTAAATGGTATAGCCCACTGTAGGTCAGTTCTAGCTTTATCAGAACAACACACCACTTGTTCCAAACCTAAACTGGGGTCCATCTCATTTATAAAGTTAGACAGACTCAGAATGTTAGGGTAGGGAGTTGACCTCAGTGTGATGATTTAGAGTTTCTACCATATCCAGACTGCAACTCAAAACCATTGGACCCAAGGCCTTCCACATAACCATCCTACTCACATCAATAGTGTACAATCGCATAGAAGATACCGTAGCCTTCAAATTTAAATACTTTTCCAAAGGCTGTTTCTCTCACTAACCTTTTGTCTCCTAACAATAGAAATAGGAACATTTCAGAGTTTTCTTAGTAGGTGCTGCTGCTTCGTGTGTGTAGATCTCTGGCCGGTGCTGCTCCATAGAGCTCTGTGCAGTGATGGGGACGCCCTCTGACTCAGCGCAGCCCCTACTAGCAGAGTGAGGCCATCAGGCCATCAGACACTGGAAATAGGCTGCCGTGCTCTAGGAACTGCGCATTCTCTTTTGTTAACTTAAATGTAAATAACCACGTTAGCTAGCAGCTGCCAACTGTTCAGACAGAACAGTTCTGGCCTATTAGACATAAACTGATACCTTTTATTTCTCTCACTGCAGATTAGACGTTTTTCTGCCAGCACTTCAGTTGTACACTTTTGTCTCTCCTGCACACCCAAAAACTTGCCTGAGACCAATGTGTGATTTTTCTTTTAAACTGAGAAATTATAAGCAGTTTATGCTACAGTCTTAGAGTAACAATCTAGTGGGGTCACTGTTATATCCTCATACGAGCCAGTGTCCCTAAGAATAATCAGGTTAATGTAACCAAGAGCCACCTTTCCAGTGATTGCCCAGAAAAGTAATTTAATACTTTGGAGGGCATAGAGCTTTTGTTTAATGTGATAATTGAGTGAAGAAAACTGGAGACTAGAGGCTGTGGACCTGTGAGGCTCTGTGTGCTACCATTTTTATAGGGTTTTTCAGGGCAGATAGTCAGAGGCAGTCACTTGTATCTGAAGTGTCATGGGAGTAAAACTAGGTAGCTGGAAGTTGTAATTTTAGGGAACGTAGGGAGAAGAAAACCTTAATTAGAGCTTGAAAGCTTATTCATTAACCTCTTCCTGTTCTTATTTTATTTCCAGCAGATGTTTAAAACTGTTGAACTGCCTTTTAGAAATTAGTCTTACTAATGTAAGCTCGACCTTACTGCTGCTAACTTGTATTTTTGCTCTAGTACCCAGTGATGGGGTACTTTCTACTTTTTACCAGTTGGGATATGTGGCAAATTGTATTGTTTCAGATGGGAGGATAAATTTAGGGTTTACGATTTAAGTGTAAGTTTTTTTATCCCCTTTGTGATTTAATTTCAGGAAAAGGAGAAGGAATGGCAACGAAGAAGACAACCATCTTCCCCCGCAGACCAAAAGGAGTAGTAGAAACCCTGTCTTTCAGGATTCCTGGGACACAGAGGTAGGAATGTTGTCACACAGTCTCCATTATTTTCACTACCTGTGCTAAATAACCCACCTTCTGCTGTATAATTAAAATAAATTTATTGCTGTAGATTTTAGCTTACAAGACTATAGTACTGAATCCACGTGGCCAACCATGGGTATGGGTCCCTAGGTTGACCTATAAACATGCTAGACACGTGCACGTGGGTGCCCAGATCCAAAGGAGCTGGAGGGCTGGGAAAAGGGGATTTAATGTGACAAGATCCTGCTGAGGTCGCTTCTCTCCTTCCTACTTGCTATCATATTAAAAAATGAAAAAGTAAGGGACTGGCCCAATAGCCTAGTTGTTAAGGAATCTGGATCCTATGTGACTGACTGAGTCCCAGCCCAGGCAGTCTGAGAAACAACACTAGTCACATGTGCTGTGTGCCCTAGGTCCCAGCAGGACGGAGAAGGAGAGGGAAAAAGGGAAAAGCATGACCAGATGCCACTGGGGGGTGCTTTCTCCCCATCTCTCACTCTCTTCTTCACACTCTGGCAAGTACACATGCCTTCTGGCAGTTTAAAAAAAAAGGGAAGAAAAAATTTTAAAGAATAATTAATTTATTATTACTATTTTTTAATTTGACCAGAGAGAGAGGGAAAGCGAGAAAGCAAGTTGCCAGGTCCAGGACTCAGACCATACTCAGCCTTGTGGGAGTCCAGTGCGTTAACCACCACAGCACCTGTCAGTCTCAGAATTTTTTTTTATTGAAAGAGTAAATAAAAATTATCTTACTTGATCACAGTGGTTGCATACTTTTTTTTTTTTTTGGAGAGGTTTTTGCTATAGGGCGCGTGCACTTGCTAGAAAGACAGAGAGAGACAGAAAGCGAGAAATCACCCCCCAGGGGGGATGGCCATGCCACAATCCCTTCTCCTCCATTCTTCTCTCGGGATCTTGGACACGCACGCACACGCGCCCAGCGTGAGTTTAAGCTGCCAGGTCCGGGACTTGAACCACGGTTGACTACATGGGAGTCCAGCGACATAACCATTACGCTAACTGCTGGTCCCGAGACTTTTTTCTTTTTTTGGTCATAGCCCATTTGAGGAAGCTGTGTGCCTTCTCCCAGCAAACAATGCATATCTGCATGTATTTACACACTCACATGCTCATTCACACAGATACATACACATGCATTTTTATTTATTAGAACTTCCATAGACCTTTAAAAGCCCATCTTTGAACACCATCTGCTTTCTATTTCAGAAACTTATTTTTAGTTTATAAGCTATTAATTATCCTTAAGATAAACAATTTTATGTTTTAATTCCCGTGTCAACTTATTTTATTTTTTAAGTTTTTGCCATAAGGTGCATGTACTTGCCAGAGAGAGAGAAAGAGGGGAAGTAAGAAATCACTCTCCAAGGGTCGAGGTGGACAGACCGCTGTCACTTCTGCATTCTCTGGTTTTAGGCACGAGTGCACATGCACTAGTGTTTTTTCAAGCCACTAGGTCCAGGACTCAGACCACAAAGTCAGTCATGTGAGACCTAGCTGCCTTTACCTCCATGGCATTAGCTGGCCTGTCAATTAACATGTCTTTTTTTTTTTTTTTCTCAAAGAGATTTTTTTTTTTGCTAAAGGGCATGTTCTCTCTCTGGAGATAGACAGAAAGTGAGATATCCCCTGGGGGATGCCCGTGCTGCAGTCCCTTCTTCATTCTTCTCTCTGGATTTTGGGCACGCACACACACCTGACGTGAGCTTTAAGCTGCCAAGTCCAGGACTCGAACCTCACTTGACTATGTGGGAGTCCAGTGATGTAACCATTATGCCATCTGGTGGTCCCAGTTAACATGTCTTTTAAGAAAACTTGAAGCATCCAGAATGTGTAAGGAGTGTGTGCATGTGTGTATGTATGTATGTCTATATGCATGTATGTATCTTTGCAAAAATCCCATTGTTAAGTGTTTTTAATTTTCATTGTACTAAAAAGAGTTCCTGCAGTGGTGGAGAGGGGCAGTTGAGTGCAGGGGAGCACTCTCTGGGTTTGCCACAATTTTTGTTTCCTCAAAGTGTGATTCTGTATGCTACTGGGGAGAAATTTTCTGTGCAATTAGAAGGCTGCTGTGTGGTGAAGTGAATCCAGTATTAAAGTATTGCTACCGTCCAACTATGCACCTAAAGATTTGACCCTTAACAGTTGTCGCCCTGACAGAGAAGTGCCTCAATGACAAAAATTCCTAAGCCCTAGCCTCATGGTTTACAGCAGCATTCTAACATACCAAGATAGCATGTACTTTAATCAGTTCTCAATTATAGGATTTGACCTATATCTAGTCTTTGCCAGCAACCCAAAGTAACTCCCCTAAGGGGGGAAAATCACTCTCACTTAGGTAACATTAATTCAGTAACAATTAATGAAAAGTAAAGATTAAAATCCTTTGTGGAGACTTGAGTTTTTGTAGCTTTTTTTCTTTCTTTAAAAAATGTTCCTGACCTTCCCCCCTTTTTTAATGTAAAACTAATTGAGCTTTTGCTTAATGTGATAGTTGGAGAATCTCATGAAAGAAAGAAAACTGGGGATCAGAGGCCAGTGGATATCTAACAATAAAATTATCATAGTAATTGGGTTTCCATTGTTTTTTTAAATTATAGGATGTTTATGTAGCTTGTGGAGAGATTTCCTGATATCAGCTTCACTATTTCTTTACCTGTGTTTCTAAGTAAGCCCTGCTATACAGTAGTCACTGATTTAAAGGTAAAGGAGGTCTAACTCTTTTTCTCCTGTGCATACACTTTTGATATCTGAGAACAGGACTGAATTTTGTCTTTTTTGGGGGGGGTTAGTTTTTGTTTGTAGAAAATGCCCTTCATTCTCTTTCAAAGTATATTCATTTGGTATTATGGGAGATATCAATATCTTATTCAACCTTTCAGGTCATATTGATTAAGTTTTGTTTTGTTTTGTTTTGTTTTGCTGTAGGCTGTGTGCACTGACCGAAGAGAGACAGAAAGGGAAGAGAGAACAGTTCCTCCCCACAAGGCTACACTGCAATCCTTTCTTTTCCATTCTCCTCTTGGGATTTTGGGCATGCATGCACACGACCCTCAGTCTGTTTTTTAAGCCACCACATCTGGGGCTTGAACTGTGGAGTCAGCCATGTAGGATCTAGCACCTTTACTATCACACCACCTACTGGCTCCAGATTAAGAACTCCTTAAAATTTTATTTCTTTATTTGTGTGTGTGTGTGCACGCGCATGCATGTGCATGAGACACAGAGAGAGAAGAGCACTGTTTCCTCCACAGGGTCTGGTCATGTCGCAGTCCCTGTCTAGTCATCCAGCTGAGTCCCAGGCACATGCGCATATGCCAGCAGGTTTCAGGCCAAGCAAGTCAGGGGTTCTAATCACAGTAGCCATGAGAGATCTGGCTTTTCTTGAGCAGCACAGTGTTGCTGTGCTCAAATCATGTATCTTGTTTTTACTTAACCGAAGAAATTCGATTGTTGAGCCACTGTGTAATCATTAGTCTTAAGGACAGACTAGGTTGTCTTTGGTATAATGTAAGATCAGGACAGGTCATTTTTATATAGTCATTTGACTGTATAAAAATAGTCATCTTCACAAAGTATGTAGCTGCTGAGAGGTGGGGAAGGAGTGATTGGAGCGGCCTGTTCTTGTCTGTGCTGTGTGCCGTCTCACAGTAGACAAAGCAGGAGTGCTCAGAGACCTTGCCCAGTGCAGCCAGCGCTAGGTCCTGGGCTTCTCTCATTTTTATTTTTATCTGAACTCACTAGTAATGATAGCTCACCTAATGGAATGTTACAGCCATTGGTTTCTGCCTTGCTTACTGCATGTTTGCCAGAGGAAGCTCTGGGGCTGTGTTGTGCTTTGTTTCCCTAGTGCTGGTAGAACGAGTAATGAGGGCAGGTGAATGAGGGAAAGCCCGAGAAACAAGAGGCAGCACAAAATATGTTTCTTTTTTTTTTGAAAAGTTTATACTGTAGCTGGGAACCAGCAGTTAGCGTAATGGCTATGTCGCTGGACTCCCACGTAGTCGACCGCGGTTCGTGTCCCGGACCCGGTGGCTTAAAACTCACGCCGGGCGCGTGTGCGTGCGTGCCCAAGATCCCGAGAGGAGAATGGAGGAGAAGGGATTGCGGCGTGATCATCCCCCCTGGGGGGTGATTTCTCGCTTTCTGTCTCTCTGTCTCTTTCTGTTTGTCTGGCGAGCGCACGCGCCCTACAGTGAAAATCTCTCAAAAAAAAAAAAAAAAAGTTTATATTGGAGGGGGCTCCACCTTTTCCGGGCACGCATGCACAGACGCCTGGTGTGAGTTTAAGCCACTGGGTCCGGGACTCGAACTGCAGCCGACTACATGGGAGTCCAGTGACATAGCCATTGCGCTAACTTAACTGGAAAGTTAAGCCCTGAGTAATTAAATTTCTACTACTAGAATAGATTATTATATTTGAATCACAAAAAGAATCAAGTTTAGGGGCATGTAGCTGTTTGATAGTTTTGTATTAAAGGAAAGATAAAGCTGCATATTACTGACAAATTATTTTTATTAACAGTTTACATAATAAAACATTTTAATAATGTTAATGAAAATGTTATTTTCTCATTCTAAGGTAGGGACAAGGGAATAAGTTCCTTTGAAACTACTATCAGGGCCATCAGGTGGTGTGGTGGTTAGGTACTGGATTCCCACATGACCGATCATGGTTTGAGTGCCAGACCCCTTGGGCTGAAGACCACACCAGGTGTGAGTGCGTGCTCAAAATCCCAAGGGGAGAATGGAGGAGAAGGGATTGCGGTGTGGCCATCCCATCCACCAGAGGTGATCTCTCAATTTCCCTCTCCCTGTCTGTCTCTGGCGAGTGCATGAGACTATGATCAAAACCTAAAATAAATGAATAAAACTGCACCTTAGATAAGATAAATTGTTTCTTGAGTTTTTATGAACTAGTGAAATAATTTTAGAACTCTTACAACTTGAATGTTCATTAGTGAGGGATTTGT